ACCATGCATTCCCTTCTCCCCCCAACTGAGATCTTTTCAGAACCATGCATTCCCCTCTCCTGCCATACTCAAACAAATTATCCTAAACACAAGTGCTTTTCAGCATGCATATCTATCAAGATAACATACTGTACCAATTTACATTTGAGTTTTTAAAAAAACATTTTCTATAAAAGTTCCTATTATCTAGAAAAGAATATATATAGATCAATCCCCTTTAAACCCTTAACATATTAAAAAGCTATAGAATGTGTATATTAACCAGCAGATTTGTCAAAGCAATGCAATTTGGAACTGATAGTGAAGAATTAGGCACAGAAACACCAAAAGACATTTTCCACTAAATGCATTCTTTTTTAAGATTACCAGTTAATTTCTGCAGTATAATTTAACCAGTAAGCAAAGCACGAGTTTTAAGCAAGAAGAAACAATAAATGGTTGGTAACATGGTATGTATTTATGTGACCAACAGATTACAGCAACAGATAGTTTCTAAGCATTGCATGACTGGGTCTTCAGATCATCTTCACCTGCAGGAAATTCAGCAATGGTGTTTTCTTTAGTTAGATGTTCTTGGTTCTCATCTTCATCCAATTCATCCTGTAGGTCTTCAGTGAGTAGCTGTCTAGCAAACTTGATGTTGAAACCTTCATTGTAGTGAAGCTTTCTCTTCATCTCAAATTGTCGCTGCTTTTCTTGTTTATTGAGAAGGAACTGGCTGGTACGTGCCATGCCGCTCTCTTCATTCTCCACTGATCTCTTGGTTCCGAAAGTGTCAGTGGCAGCTAATTTCTTAGCTAACATATCGGGGGTCATAACTTTGGCTTCAACATCTCTCACAGTATCTTCCCCAGTATCTTGTACACCGACATAGGCAGTGCCTGGTTCATTTGCCTTCACCAAGTCATAATCTCTGTATGATGAGCGGTGAGTCGCAAGGATGTTGGATTCATCCCACCTCTGAGACTTCTTCCTCTTGATCACTTGGGTGGCTCCTCCGGACTGCTGGGTAGAAGCCCCTACCGAGGTGGTCGTCGAACCTTTATTTTTCAGGATTCCCTTGATGGGTCGGTGTGAGGTGCTGTAGGTTGCCATTGTGGGCAGCCTAGGGCTGCGAGGAGGGTCGAGCCGCCCAGCAGCCGCTCGCCAAGCTCCGCTCCGGACCGAAGCAGTAGCCTGACTGTGTCGGTAATTGGTCCTAACTGCCTGATAATAGCGCAAGGGCCCCTGCGTCACAAAAGACACTGTGAGCCAGCCACAGGCTTCCTTCTCCGTCACTTCCTCTGTCGTGGCTGCCAGCACTTCCGCTGTCCTGACTGCCAGCACTTCCGCTGTCCTGGCCGCCAGCACTTCCGCTGTCATGGCCGCCATCACGGCCTCGCTGCCCAAACTGATTTTTTTTTTTTAACTTGTTTGTTTTATTTTATTTTTAAAGAAATAAGACGGGAAATAACCATCTCTGGGATATGAAATGTTCTGAAGCATTGTTTTAGAAGTTTTCCAAACCCTGTGGGCCTATAAGGAAGCTACATAAAATGTATTTCCTACTGTCAAAATTTGAGAACCACTATGTCAGTCTCTCACTTGTGTCCATGCACCACCCCCCCACACACACATTCCCTGAGTTCCTACCCTTTCAAATGGCTCCAACAGCAGCCCCTTACACCAGCCAAAGCCCTGAGTTTGGTTCTTCATCCCTTCAATCTCCAATCCAGACCTCTAGTGCTGGCCTAAATATGCCAAGAAACTTTAATTTTTTTCCTCTTCTGCAGCCTTCCTCCTTCAAGTCATCACCACATCTCCTGTTAACTGTAGGCATACTGAACTGGATCCCCAATGTTCCCTCCTGTGGTCATCCAGTCTCTTACCATCCTCCAGCCTTAGTGATCTTAAACACCCATCGCGTCTTGTCACATCTTTTTTGCAAACCCTTCAACAACTACCCATAATCCTTACTGTAAAGATCAAAACCCAGAAGAAGTTAAAAAGCAGTTGTGTGGTCTTCTCAAGTCTGCTCAGACATCCAGCTGCAGTTTTCTGCTTATGAAATCTTCCCACTTTACTTCTGGCTCTCTGTTCTAGCTTTTCAATTGTGGGAGCATTCATGATCCTTCCTGCCCAGGAGTCTTTTTAAGATTTTTTTCCATCCACCGAGGATTGGATAAGAAAATTATGGTACTTTTATATAATGGAATATTACTCAGCTGTAAAGAAAGATAAACTCGAGGCCTTTATATTTAAATGGTCACAACTAGAGACCATACTCATAAGTGAAATAAATCAAACATACATGTGCAAGCACCGCATTGTGTCACTAGTGTAAAACTTGAAAGAGTTAAGTTAAACTCGGAGGTATGATAGACACTGTGAAATGATAGGAAACCACCGAAGAGTAAAGGGCTTCTGGGATGTGGGAAAAGAGAAGGGAAAGAAGGAAAAATTTTGTATGTATGTATATACAGGATAGATAACATGGTTGTTCTTCTATCTGCTGTTTCTACGCTGAAAGAAACTGTCAATGAGTCTTTGGTTGACCAGTATTGCATGTCTATATCTGTTTTCATGAGAAGCCACTTTGAAGATATCAATATGTAATACAACCACCATTGTTAATTCCCTACCACTTTGTTTGTAACTCTGTATTGTCTGTATTGTGCTTGTGATATGTTGTAAAATGTTGTATGTCTGTTAATGTTTCCCTCCTTTTATCCTTAAAATAAAAAAAAAAAAAAAAAAAAAAAAAAAAAAAGATTTTTTTCCTTTGGCCTGAAACATGGCTTCAGATTTCAGTTCAATCACTACTGGTTTGTAGGGGTAATTTCCTGTCCTGTAAACCAAATAACCCTGTCTATGCTTTCAGTGGCATCTCTGTTCTCCTTGGCAACATGTGAGTCATTTGTAATATATTATCTAATGGAAAATGCCAAGAGGAGAAGGAAGTGATAAAGACTGTTCCTTGGTCAAACTTTAGTCAGGTTCCTCCGAGCCCTGTGTTCAACTGGGCCTGATGTTAGACTTTACTTAAGGTGCTTGCAGAATCCAATTTGAACAAGAATCCTGCTAAGTATGTTTAGTGAAAATTATCCACCCTTGCTTTTGACTCCCCTCCTATATCTGGCCAAATTTCTTGTGCCCTGAAACTACGTATCTGATCACCCTGACCTCACCGAAGCAAAACCCTATTGGTTCAGTCACTTTGTTGTTCCTCCTTACCAATTTTCCATCTACTGAAACCACTTTCCTCCTTGGTTATAAGTGACTATTTATAATGTTAAAGTCAGGCTCAGTTTATTTCTCTTCCTGCAAGACCCCATTGCAGTGCTTCTTGTACCTATTGTGACAGTACCTATTGAATAGAGTCCCCCTAAATGTAATTAAAGTGCTACATGAAAGTTTTTCATTAGTTGTTATGGTGCTAGTGATTTAGATGGAATCAGATTCATCCTTGGACCACCCAGACCTCTCATCCAGAGCCCCAAATGCATACCTATCTTGTTCAGTTTCCTGTCAGTGAAGATAATACTCAATACCAGCAAATCAAAGGAGGAGAGGTTTATTTCGGCTCCCTCAGTCTATAGTCAACTAGCTCCAAGGCAACCTGGCATAGCACTGGGAAATGATGGAGGAGTAGCTGCTCATCCCATGGCAGACAGGAAGCAAAGAGTGTGGAAGGAGGAATAGGGTAGGGAAACACACCATTCCATGCCATAACCTTCCCAGTGACCCACTTCTTCCAACCAGGCTTCATCACCCAACATCACAATTACCTATAAATTCATCAGTGGACTAATGTGACAATAAATACCATGTCCTGGTGATCAAAGCACTTCCCAAAAGCTCCACCTATGGGCACATGGGTCTTTGGTGGGAACATCTAGATAAAGCAATAGCAATCTCCTTGAAGCCTTTATCTCTTCTTCTAGCTGACTGATCAGGGATCCATTGGTGAGTCTAACTCCTGAGCCAGTGATCTGGATGATTGGCTAATGAAGGAAGGTAAGTATGGATTTTAATTCTTATGATTCTGAGTGTGCACTTTGAAGCTGGGTAAGACTATGAACTTATTTTAATCTCAGTAGGCCTTCTGTTGCTATAACTGAATACCATCAATGAGTAATTAATAAATAATAAAGGTTAATTAATGCTGGTAAAGGATGGGAAGTTCAAGACTGGGCACTTGTATTTGATGTGGACCTTCTTGCTAATGAGGATTTTGTACAGAATCTCAGAAGCACTGAAGGGCAGCAAAAGTGAGACAGAGCATCCTAAATCAGGTCTTTCTTTCCTCTTTGAATGAAATCATAGTCTTATTGTATTAAAGCATACCACTGTAACCTCATTTATCTCCCAAAGAACTCACCTCCAAATATCATACTTCAGTTAAGTCTCTATACTTATAATACCTCACAGTGGAAATTAAGTTTTGTAATGGGTGATACAGTATGTCAACTTGAGAAATTCAGAAGTTTAACTAAGCAACTCAGCAGGGAGCCAGGATCCTTGCTTTATAAACTTCCTCAGCTTGTGGGAGAGGAGGGCCCTGAGATGGTGTAGGGGGACAGCTGTGGTTGGATAGCTGACATACAATATAAGGGAGGAAAAGAGGCTTGCTTCTCCCCATGTGCTTTTGTTGCTTTTGCTGTCTTTTGCTGCCTTCAAGTGTTGTCCTTGTGCCATGCCACCCTGCCTGGGAGCCAGCAGATTATGGACTGAAACCTCCACAAACTGTGAGCTAAGTAAACCCTTACTTCCTTAATTTTAAGTATAGGGTATTTTGTCTCAGCGGTGAGAGAAAAGTAAACAACACAGAATTTGGTACCAGAGAAGTGAGGTCGTTGCTGCGACTATACCTGACCATGTGGTTCAAGAGCCTTTGGGAACTGCTTGTGGGAAGAGTTTGGAAAGGTTCAGAGATGTCGCCTGAAGGAGTATAGTTGGAACGTTTTAGGATGTTCTGTATGGGAGAATCTGGTCAGAGCTCAGAAGACCAGAAGGCTGAGAGAAACACTACTGGTAAAGATTAGGAAAGGGAAGTTTCTGCTAGGAAGAAGGACTGTAATGGCTGTTGGAGTCCAGACAATGTGTGCTATGGCTTGATAAAAAGTTTGTCTACATTTTGCCTGTGTCCAGAGACTTTGCCTGAGACTGAGATTAAGGGCATTGGACTAACCAATCTGGTAGAAAAAATTTCAAGGCAGCCTAATGTTGAGGCAGTGGGGTGGCTATTGTTGGGGGCTTTTAGCCATATCAATGTTGAGACTCTGGAGCAAAGAGCCCAACAGGATGATTTAAAATGTTGTGAGTTTGGCTAGAAGGGAAGCCCCAGTGAAGTTATGGACTACAAAGATAGAGCTGAGGAGATCTTGATTACTGAGAAGGAATAGGAAAATGCAAAAGATGGCCTGAAGGCATCACAAGAAGCAGCATGTCTCCACTCTTTGCAGCCTCAGCACTGCGAAAGTGAAAGACTATTTTTTGAGGAGAAAGCCACAGACTACCATGTTCCACAATGGTGGCAGTGTAGAAAATTTGTTCCTCAGTATTAGATTAAGGGTGCCCAGCGGTCCAGGCAACTGATCCTCACAGCCAAGAGAGAAGAAAGCCTGGCTACTGCCACAGCTGGCAGCAGACCTTGGCATCATCCACATGGTGCTGGATTTAGGTGCATGCAGAATGCAAGTGTGATGGGATTAAGAAGACTTGCATTCCAATTTTAGAAAGCCTGGGAGGCCACTCAGTGCGTTCTTGAGAGGGCCGTGTGTGAAGCTGTGAGTGTGAAGGCACAGGTGCAGTGGAGACCTCAGAAGTTTGGAAAAGCCAAGAACATGGATCGTCTAAGAAAAGCTGCAAGGAGGAAGCAAGGAAGCAAAGTCAGCCTAAGAGAGAAGCTGAGGTAACTATAACTACCAGATGTGCCATAGGGGTGGATTCCCTCAAAACCTTTGGAGCTCATAATTTGCCACAGATTGCTTCAGATGCTGGACATGGAGCTATAGGACAAAATGTATGCCCTGCTGGAATTTAGATTTACTTTGATCTCAATCTTTTGTATTCCCCCTGTTTGTAACTTTTGGAATAAAAAAGTTTCTCTTATGCAACTGAACGTTGGAAGTGTTTAACTTTGTTTTCATTTGTACAGGGGCTTGCAGCTAAGAGTTTTTCTTACATTTCCAAGGAGACTTGGGACTTGGACTTTTCAGGAATGCTGAAACTGTGAGGACTTTGGA